GGGGTTTCAATTCCACGACAATTGCTCCAAGCATAATCATTCTGCTGGCAGCGGATTCTGATATACTGGCAGTGGGTTTTTTACACCCTTCACATAGCTTTTCCCAACCGCATCTGTTTTCGCATTGTCTTCATTTATGGTTCTAGATGCGGGCTTTTTCCTTTATGTTTGTTGAACACAGCCGCTCAGAGCCAACCTCGGGGCCAACCGCTCAGCACCTCGGCAAGGTCGAGATCAATTTTGTGTTCAAAATGTACAATGAACAATAACAAAACGTAACATCTTCCAGCGTTTTTAACTTATACGGCAGAATATTAAGACAATAAGGATGACCACACAGTCTCATTCATTATTGATTTTTGTTGTAATCATTAGATTACTTTCTGCCCAACGAGTAGCAAATAAGTCTAACGATGATACCTTATCCATTCTTGCAACAGTTAGTTTGTTCACGAACTACTTCCCAATAGTGTAGTTGGTTGCTGCTGCATGGAGTTATGTTTTATTATGTACATTGTGCACAGCTTTCGAATTGTAAATTTGTTGTCATAACTGATATTAGTGTGAAATTTGTGCTTGTAATTTTTGCTTCATATTCGTAATTAGTGTAGTTCAAAAGTCAAGGTAGGTTATAAAGCAGAGTTGCTGGAATATACAAATTGAGTACTAATTTTATTATTAAAATAGTATTGAAAGTAGAATTACGAGTTAATGGTAAGCCCAAACAATGAAAGGTTCTGTAAAGAGAAGAAAAGGGTAATCATGTTCACATGCTTGGTTTATTCTGCAGGATTTTCTCTAATCTCCTCAGTCAAGTTCTTCATATCAGGATATGGTTTATCGTCGATAGTATCTGACCACGATCTGATATCGCATCCTTAACATGTCATCTACAAGTGTAGGTGGGCAAAGGGCATTTGCCTTGAAGCGAAATAAGTGATTTTTATATGGTTTCTAAAATATCTGTATTACTTCATGTCAAGAAATTTTTTGTAGCCTCCTTCTAATTAAGATATTTTCTAAAATAAATTCCCTTCCCATAACCTTTGTCAACCTAACAGACCACTATTTAACGGAGCTAATGAAATAAACCATCATGAGTGTTAAAAATTATTTTCAGCCCACTTACTGTATAAATAAAATTCTCCCTCTTTACCAATGAACTTCTTAGCCAGAAATCAAAGTTATGCTATTCTTTACAGGATGCCTGCAGCCGTTGTACGTAAGCATGTTATGACGGGAACTTTGTTGTTAAATCCACAAAATGCTTCGCATAGGGGTGCAACTGATAGTAGCCCTCAAACAGTTAGTGATTCTTTTTTTCTCCGCAAGAATAATCACAAAATAGAACAAATAAGATTTAGCATTTGAAATTTTGGTCATGTGTTTGAGAAACGAGCTGTCTGCAAAAGAAAATATGCAAAATAATGATAAATTTTTTGCTTAACTAGCATTGATTTTTCCAGTTAACGCGTCATTATTGCAACTGAGAGAACAGTAATGCGATTAAATATTGCTATCAATTTTAAATTCACTTTCTGCATTTGATATTTTCATTTCATACAAATCTTTGCTGTGTGTGCCAAGTGTGGTAATCAGATGTTTTATTATTTAGAATAATTATTCTAAGTTGATCTTATTTTGGTTTCTTTGTTTAATGTTAGGTTTCTTTCACAAAGTTCGCATCATTGTAAATGTAAATCTATATATGCTGAAAATTTGTAACCATATAAGAGTGATGTGTAAAATTATAATATCCTAGAGAAAATGAAATACTTTAATTTTACTCATAATTTGGTAGCGACTTTTTATAATTTGTGGCAGTGGAGTTTATTATTGTGAATTTCAGATCACGTTGATGGAGATTGTTGAACCCGTGGATGTAGAAGATATCTTATCGCAAAGGAAATACCCTTCTAACATGTACGAACATGATGCAAGTTACAATAATTTGAGAAGGTACTATATTGTGTAATATTTTTTACATGCTTTCAAATGCAAGTTCAAGTTTTATTCGAATTTTCATGAACTATTTACCATCCTATCATCATTTCCTCTTTTTTTAGAATTGCTGAGTTTCCAGTTGATGATGTGGAAGTGCGTTTGCTGCATCGTGATCAGCTAACTGTTGAATCATTATTTCCACTTAATCTTAATATGTTTGTAATTTTTTTTTTTTGAAAGATTTTAAAATGATAAATGTTACAGACTTACGGTCTTACATTTTAATTAATTCATAATGCAGTGTAATTGACTAATTTTGCTAATTTACAATTCATTACTTTACATGTTGAGTTTGTTTCTGGTAAACTAGAAGTTTGAATTTTATTCGAAATGGTTTTAATGCCTGTTTTATTTTATATCCACTTTTTAATATTTATCATGTCCTAACTCAAATACCGTTGTTCATATCTTAGGTGTTAACTACATTCAGCTGTAATGGAAATATAAAATTTGTCGAATTAATGATTTTGCAGCATTGATCCAGTGGTAAAGGATATAATAGAGACGTACAACGATAATTTTTCTCTTGTACAGCGAAAGTATTTCCACTATTCAAGTAGTGAAGCTTATGTTCGAATGTTAATGGAAATACCAATTATTGCTCGAACAGTGCACAAGCAAATTTATGAAATGGACCCAGATTGTTCTAATGGACATAGAATTAGCACAGCTAGTGTAGATCAGGTGGGAATTGTACCGTTGTGTAACCCAGATTTCTTTAGTTTTAATTTGCACTTTATATATTTATGTCTGTGTTTCCTACCGTGACATGGCGATTTTTGATATTTTATGCTACCTAGTTAGGCAATAAGACTAAGATTTCATTTGAATTTAGGATTATGATTCCTTAGATTTGGTACTATTTTAGACTCTTGCAGTGTGATCTTCAGAGGTCTTTCTAACTTTTTTGTTTGAAATAGGACGAACATAGAGATGTAATTGCAGTTATTACTTGCTTGTAAAAAATTCGCTTCACAAATGATGATTGGTAGAAGTTAAAAAAATCCATGTTCTCACAGCATGCGATAATGACTTCATTTCTTGGCTTAGGTAAACTATGTAAATTCAGAAGACAGAACAGAAGAGATATAACTTAAAGGTGTTTTATGGATGAAATATAAGTCTTTACTTTGAATAATTTGAAGCTAACATGTAGGCAACCAGACGTGATTCATTTGGTTCACATTATTCATCAGATTCGTTATGTACTGTTGGTTCATCTGGTGGAACTAATCGCGAAGATATTTTTCGTGCACCAAATCAGCTTCATTCATCAGCTAGCGATCCAACTGTTCCAGGTTCGTCAACTTCTTGGAGTGGTGGAGAATATGCACTCAAAATCTCTCATTATGATTATGCGTTTTCTGATGTATTGCCAAGACATTTTTACAGGTGTGATTCAACATAATTTTTACAGGTGTGATTCAACATATTTCTAATACACAACTCGATCAAATCAATGAAGCGCGAAGGCAATCTAATCGTCAAAGTGTACTGATTAATTTACTTCCTCCACAGACAGAGGTCCAATTTTAAATCGTTAAATACTTGGTGGTTTTCATTTATTGTCGTTTTAATTGAATCAGTACATATCTTGTTTCGTGTTATTAAAATACTAAGCCGTATATATCACAGCTATTGAGCAAGTTAAGCATTATCTGCAGTAAAGATAGTTAAGTGCATAAAATTTAAGTCTGTAATTAACTAATATTATACTAAATTTTTTGAGGCTGAAGTAATCGAACGGCGAAATACAGCACCATTTCCTGTTGAGCATATTGGTCAAAAATTATTTATCAAAATTTTGCAGGTCAGGAATGAAGTTTTCGTATATTGTTTTTGGTAGATTCTGAAACGTTATACTTACATCTTATTGCATCTTCTAGTTTTTTATGTCATTTGTTTTAATTGAGTCTAAAAATGGGCAATTTCGGAAATCCAGATGAAGTTTCCTTAAAAATAAGGTCTTCCCTTAGCGGATACAAAATTTCTGTCATTTTCTGTAGACTCTCTAATCGCTGGTATCGATTGTTTCTTAAATGTATTTCTACGTGATGGATAACGAAATCAGTTTGAGAATTTTTCTGGCATTTTCAGTTACGACTTGAACCTTCATTCGAACCTGTTTTTGGTGCGATGATGCTCTATGATGTAAGAGAAAAACGGAAAGTATGCATTTTCATTCTCACAAATATTGATCAAGTCTCTGCTGTTATCTTCATTCAACAATTTCCTAGATATTCTTAGTTGTGATCACTAACATTCCTCGGCCAATTCTAAATCAGTCAATATTTACAACTGTCTAATATTGTTAAGCTGTTTTACAATCAAAAGCATGTAGTTTAGAAACTTTTAGATATCAGAGAATTTCTACTTTGATTTGAACGATGAATCGCTCTCTACAATGATATCCCGGCATGTCGATCGTGTAGATGAAGCAAGCAAATGTACTCTAGCTGCATTTAGCATAAGCCAGCCGTTAAACGATATATTTGTTGTTGTGAAGGTAAAACTTTTTTTCTCAAAAATTGAAATTGTGTTCGAAAAATTTTCGTTCAAAATCTTCAGTTAGAAAAAGTATTGCAACCGTGTGAGATAGCGGATGCTTGTGAACCCTATCTGAAAGAAGAAAAAAACAAAGATCGTTTGATGCAAATTGCGCAGCAAAACTGCGAACGACTTGGTGCTTTTCGAATGCCGCTTGGTTGGATTGCTGTAGATTTGAAACAAGTCATTAGCAATTCACAGCAGATGGACAGAGTAGAAATATCAACTGCAAATGCAAGTGCACCTGCAGGTAGTTTTTGGTAAAGCTTGGTTTTTTGACAAAAATTATATTGAAACTAATAAGTCAGATTCAGTTCAATAGCATTGTTTAAACGAATTATTATCTGATTGAAATTTTATCGCACTCAGCAAGTTTTTTGTGATAAGAGCTGCTAAAGAAAATTTCTTACAAATTTATGTTTTATTTTTGAGGGCACCATTTTGAGGCCTGTTATTGCTGTTATATCAAAATTTATGCTTAATTAGTACTAGGTAAATTGGTGTGACAAACCTTTTTTTTTTAATTTTTTTGTTAATTTTATTAAAAAGCTCTTCATCACTTGTTTTTTTAACTTTGCTAGTCATTTTCTTCCAGGACAAGATACGCCAATTTGTTCTACACCTCATTTTGATGTTGAAAGTATTGTGAGTATGGGTAATTTTTTTTTGAAATCAAAAAATTTTCCTTGTAAATTATGTATACGGTTATCCTTTCATGTTTTTTCCTTATTTTTATATCAGTTGGATCAAAAAATAAATAAGTGTGTAATTTCAGATCGAATATCCAATTCAACGACAAGCACATTTCGTCGCACTGGTAGTGGGATGTCAACCAATACAGGTTTTATAGGAACTATGCAAGTGCAGAAAACTACTCCAATTCAGAAACGCAAATTATTTGGAACGCTTCATTCTAGCGTTTCTCAAATTGACACAAATTTGATAGGAGCTGGTATCGAAAATGAGACTTCGGTGAAAGATGGAGTCTCATCAGTTCCTTTAAATTACTTGCAGCCTCTCATTTTGAATCTCAATTTTTTCTATAGACAGGTCATGCCAATTTGCCAATGTGTGCCAATTTTATTTAATCTGTAGAACCAGTATTTATCTAGATATAAGAATTCACTCTGAAATATATTGTAGGCATAGAAAATTCATATCGGGCATTTGATTTCATCAAATTTTGAAGCTTTTGATTTCATACGATTTGCAGGAACCTGAACGTGTAACTGATCAAGATCTCTGTAAGATACTTCTTGATTGTCGAAAGAGTGGCTCTAAATTAGCTCGCTTGAAAGCGTTCCCAGTAACATTTAAAATGGAATTATCGGGTGTATGTGATGAGTCATTAATGCGGTATTAGCTTTTATTTTCTAATATTCCAAATGTTCTTTTATTTCGTCAATTTTCTGTTCTTTGAGAAATTTTTTAATATTTTTATTTCGTCAATTTTCTGAGAAAGGTAAACTGCATTTGTGAAGACAATATTTAGATACGTGAAAATTTAAATAACGAGTCCGCACTAGATAGCAATGTACTGAGAAATAGATCTGCTAGTATAGTTGTATGGCGATTAGATGTTGCACAGCTAATTTAATGAAACATAAAACGTAAAGAAATGAGAAGAGAAGGGAATAAAGCCTGAATGAAAGAACTTGTTTTGGACAAAGCAACCTTTGAAGAAAGTATCTTCTCTTTATGCACGATATATATCGTAAAACCGAATGAAATGGAAATTGCAAGTAATCGATATTTCTGATAGATTAATTACAATAACCTTGAAAGGATAATCCGCTTATTCAATAATCTTATAAGCAATCATTCTTCCGGTTTACGCCCGAACTTCATCATGTGCATCCTTTCGTTCACAGCAGTTCATCAGATATTGTGAAAGAAGTTGTTGAATTCCCGATGAAAGGGATTTATGCTGTAAATGCTAATTACAGGTAATGAGACGGTTTTGTTACAGAAATTTTCAAAGTTCGTTGCATCGCATGACAATTACATTTTTTCAGAAATTTGCTCTATGTTTATCCACGATTTGTTAACTTATCAAATCGTTCCGGTCCTTCCCGTAATATTTCGGTTCATGTGGAATTGATGAATGCGCAAGAAAAGGCAATCTGTGCAATATACGGCAAATCAGGTGGTCCAAATATAACTTATTTCGCTGACACCGTAGTTTTCTATCATAACAAGTAGGTTTTAAAGAGTGTTCGCATTTAAGACAATTTTTTTCTAATAAAATTTATTATTTGATGTTTTTAGATTAATTTTATGGCTCTACTTCTAACAATTTATTGAAGCGAATTTAGCTAAGTCGTTGGTGGTGAAAAAGATTTTGGTTTTTTGCTTGAAAGGATTGAAAAAACTGTCCACTGAAAGCTTTATATTCCATTATTTAGAATTTAAAAGGAATCACTGAAAGCTTTATATTCCATTATTTAGAATTTAAAAAATTCATATAATTTTCTTTAGATGGTAATTCGAAATTGTCTTTGAAATATGTACTGTTCTAAATCATATGGAGATGGTAATGTAAACATAACTGCATTTTGCTCGGAAAAATATCAGCCATCAAAGACTACTTCTTTTTTTTGATTTATGTATCAAATTGAAATCATTCAATTTTCAGAACTCCAAATTTTTATGACGAGATTAAAATCAATTTGCCGGTTGATTTAGACGACGGTCACCATTTGCTTTTTACTTTTTATCATATTTCCTGCAAACCAAACAAAATTGGCAATGATATCAAGGTACCGATAGGATATTCATGGATTCCATTATTGAAAGATGGGAGATTGCAAACTGGGGAATTTATTTTGCCGGTTGCATTGGAACAACTACCACAAAGTTATGGTTACTTATCTCCTGACGTTTATTTACCAAATATTAAATGGTTGGAGGGACACAAACCACTTTTTGAAGTCAAACTTGAAGCTGTCACAACAGTCCATACACAAGTTGATATTTGGATGTTCTATTATTAATTTTTTTTGTGTTTTGTCATTTTCTTTTATTAAGCTTATTCTGGTTACATAGTTCTAGTAATTCTAACTTTTTTTTTTCAACTAGGTCGATAAAAGGTGTTAGTTAATATATCCTTTAGGATTTACATTTGGATAAATTTTTGGTTGCTTATCAGTCGCTAAATATAAACAATACGAAAAGTTATCCGATAACTGAAATAGATTTGAAAAATGCAATACGAGGCGTCATAAAAGCTCGTCCAGAACCAATGGTTGCATTCTTGTATATTATACTAAATAAGCTATTGGCTTTAATTGCTAATCCGCCTTATACAGGTTCGTTTTTTTTTTTGCCACATTCTCATTTGTGACTTTAAATATTCTAAAGATTCTAACAAAACCATTAAATTCTCTAAAGGCTTTTGTTCCTTCGAATGATATTTTTTAAAGAGAATGTCTAGAGCTGATATTTAAGGACTGAATATGCAGTTGTTTTTACATGGATTACTTTTACTTATGATGGATTTTTTCTGTTGCAGCCATCATTTTTTCAGTCTCGGTATCAGCAGTGTGTTTTGAAGTACTTGGGCAGCTAGTAAAAATATGTACTGTTCTTTTGGATGGATTTCATGATCTGCATGGTCGTAGCTCGCTGCTCACTACTTATATACATTACCATAGAATACTCCTCAATGGTTCGTGTTGTGTTTCATTCAGTAATTTATTAATTACAATTATTGCATTGTATTCTACATTTACAAATTATATTGAAACGATTCGCTCAGTTTAAGAAGTTTCACTTGTTCAAAGAAATTCGTGTTTGATTGAGTCAAAGTCAGAAAATTCTACATGTATAAGTGTTTCACCAGGAAGCGAACACTTATGCGATATCATAAGTAAGTAGAACTAAGTTTACTGACACATCTCTTTTTTCAAAATTTCCAGGACTTTTTGGATATATTTTCTGCTGATTTTTCAATCTATTGCACTTTTTATTTTTTATTGAAGCGTGTTCTTAAATTTGGACCTAATATAGTTCGAGACTTTATAAAAGCGAGTATAATTTTTAAAGGAGAATTTGAGCAAACAAATTACATGAAAGCATCCGTGGAAGATAACGATAAAGTCAAAGCATCTAAAAAGGTTTCACAATTAATTCCCAAATTTTTTCAAGCTAGTAGAGGTCATTATATAATAAACAGCAAGTTTTAGGTTATGCATGAAGAGCTAGTGCTTCAGTGGATTATAAGTTGTGGTGCTGCTCGAGAAATGGCTTTTCGTAATTCTTGGTTTTTTCTTGAGCTCATAGTTTGTTCTTACTGCGTCATTCTTTTTTTTTTTTTGGAGCGTGTCGTAGTAATTTTCAAAAGAATTCAAAGATATAAGTTTGGACTTCATTTTTTTTACAGTCATTTGTTGCTTGTTGACTTCATGAGGAATGGTTGCAATAAAAATATCTGTTTCTATAGGTCAAGTCTATGGCAGAATATTTGTTTCTATCAAATCGGTTATATTTACCACGAAAGCTTCGTTTTAGTGAGATATTTATTAAAAATCTAAATGGGCTTTCGCAAGCTATAATCAGTGAAGTCATTCAAAGAATTTCAAAAGATCCGAAACAAGTAATTATATTTTTTGTAAGCAGTAATGCAGTATATTTCATAAGATTAAATTTTTTGGTTTCGGTAGCAGACTTTTCATTCAGCGTTTGGTTCTTATATTGCATTAAAACAAAGTATGAGCTTGAAATTTTACTCAGTTACTCGACTCTATAGCTTTTCAAAAATCGATGTTTCTGATTTTTCCATTTCAATTTTTTCAAACGTATGAATTTCTCAGTCGCAATCGATCAGCACTTCTTGGGCTTTTTTTTTACGTGATTGTCTTTCATTAATGGATCGGACGTTCGTGATGATCCTTATTAAGCAGTTCAATCGCGAGCTCGCTTCTAAAATATGGTGAGCGCAATTAGACAAAATAAGTAGGCATCAGTTATTGTTTCACAATATTATGTAACTCTTTCCTAATACTAGAGTTTTCTCTTACTGGGTTATAGTGTGGACGGCGTGACACATGTTGTTATTTCACTTATTACTCTTGTTGCCGGAGTATATTTTTTTGTAGTCGTATGATTAATGAAGTTAATTCTGTCATGTATTGTTTCAGCTGCTCAACTGACTCACTTTTAGTCTCCACTTTTATGCTTATAAAATTGGATTTTTTGCGCATTGTTGCCTCGCATGAACATTTTATTGTACTGAATTTACCATTTGCTTTTAGTACCACTCAAAGTACTTCAGTAAGTCATTCTAGTAGCTCGTTCTATGCAAGTTTTTAATCTAGCATTTTCACTTTATGGTCTAGCAAAAAATTATCATTCCTTCTGTTGGGTTTTGATTTTTTTTCGAGTCTTTGCTTTGAATAAATTTTGCATCGAATTATAAATTTGAGTTTCAGTCTCTTGTATCCGAGATTTCATCAAGTTTGGAAAGCAATAGTGCTTTATGTCTACCCTCATATAATTTTTCCCATATACCGTCTTTCAGTCCAGAAAATGCAAGCACAAATAGCAAGCATGTTTTTTTTAATTAATTTTGAAATTTCTGCAAGTAATCTGAAATTTGTGTTTTATTTAAAATTGCATAAATAGTTTGCAATATGTTTTGTATTATATTTTCTAGAATGCCAAGTGAAACGTTTAATGCGATCGGATCAGCAGAGTTAACTATTGAGTATCGTTCACGGCATTTTTTAATAGGAATTGCTCTCGCTGATTTGGCTTCCGTACTTGATACTTCAAACACTCTTCTTCATTCACGGTTACTCTCCCTTTTTACAGTAATATATATTTAAGAAATGATTTTTATGTGTATTTCTTGTGTTATCTATGATTAACCATGAAAATTACTTTTTAGTGCTATAAGCCTCATTCGTAATTTGTTGAGCAGTCATGAATCAGATGATCGACTTCTGGACAACAAGATGAAAGCGCGAGTAGCATCATTATATTTGCCTATTATTGGCATTCTCCTAGATGCATCTACTCATTTATATGATCCTTATTCGAAATTTTCGAGTTCGAATCCAGCTGCTGATTACGGAGTTCCTATATCTTTTTCCAATCAGTAAGTACTTGGCATGTAAAATCCCAGGGTTTTCAAATAGCTAAAGTTCCCTTCCTATAGTATGTCTTGAATTCTCTTTGTAGTTATGTTTATTCAAAACTATGTGTTTTATGGTGTCAAAAAGTTTTAGTTGTTCTGTGGAAATGAATAATCAATCATTAATTTGTGACAAAGTCATGCTTACAATAGGTGGAATGAATTTTACACCTCCTTGTTCACCACCAGTAGAACGGAGGCGGATAAATTTAGTGCAATCATCACTTTCCTTAGAAAATACTCGCGTGGTAAAACTGTTTAAATTAAAATTTTCCTGCTTTATATATATAAAAAACATGAGTAATTTCTCATATGCTGCTGTTTTATTTTTTTGGTTTTTTGAAATGGATGATTATTTTTTGCCTTTTTCAGCTCCTAGCATGTTTCTGTTGGACTTTAAAAAATATGGAACGATCATGTTTGCGTCAATGGATCCGCGATTTGTCACCGAATCGTATTTCACAATTTTTGAATGTTCTTCAGTTGGCAGTTTCTTGCTTCGAATTCAAGTCATCTCCCATTTATTCTCGAGTATTATTGCTTTTTATTGTATCGAATTATTTCTCATCCTAAAGTTTAGGTTAAAAGGGGGGAATAACATAAAACTATAAACACGTGTGTTAGCTTTACGAAATAACTATTTAAAGAAAGCTACGACAGAAAGTCTGGAGGAGAAAAGTTATCTGAAGAGAAATGAAGTCATTGACGTCGAAAGTTCATCGACAAAAGATCTTAATCGGAAAAAGTCACGTGGTCTTAGCGATTCGGAATGTGATATTCGTTGGCGAAAAGAAGTTAAAGATTTAAGAGAAAAAGGTTTTTGGAAAAGCTATACAGGTAGTAGCGGTGGCCATTGTAGTGAAGAACGTCGTAAGTATTGGTCAAATAAAATAGGTTTCAATTTATATTTAGGGTGACTGAGATTGCATAGTATTTTAGGATTACATGGAAAATTCAAAAATACTAAGGAAATCTCTGATCATGGAGAAGTATAGAAATCGATTTTTCTTTTGTTCTAGCATATGACGATGTTGTCCTGGAAGCTGCTCTTTGTACTGAGGTCCCATTGATAGTACTGGATACGTTAGAAATTGTCATACGTGTTGTGTCTGTACTTGGTTCAGATTGTCTGTATTATGTTCTTCCTTTTGTTTTAAAGGTTTTGGTAAGTTGACAGTATAGTATTATTTATTACTTTAGACTTAAATTACTTTCTAAAATTTGAGATTCATGGTATCATCATTCAGTCTATAAATAATTTTTAAGTCCTTTTAAAGATTAATTAAATGATGTAAATATCAGATGCACATGCTGGCTTGCAATCAGTCAGTGCAAGCTTTGGAAAACATCTTTGCTAGTCAACGTTCCATTGTTACAAAATATCCGGGCCTGTTGTTTGAACAAGTAAGCAAATATGGATCATTCCATTCATATTTTTTATAGAAATGTTATGTTACTCTAAATCATGTTAATTGTGGTTTTACCACTGGTTGCTTATACTTACCTTTTATATTCGAATTCTGTCTCTGATTTTGAAAAATATACATTAAGCGGTCAGATGTTAACTCTCGGAAAGACCAGATTAAAAACAGTCATTTTTATCAAAAGAGCAAGATATAATTTTCATAGAAATAATTATATTTTTATTGCATATTTATTTTGTTTTACATCTTACAATCTCCGTTATTGAAATAAAATTTACTTTCCTTTGGAATTCTAAGAATTATTTGCAGGAAACGGAGCAGTGTGGAGAGTTATGTCTTCATCTTCTAAGGCACTGTGCATCGCGATTACCAGCTATTCGTTCACAAGTATTTTGAAGATTTATGTAGTAGGAAAATTCAATAATTAAGTGTAATAATGTACTGAGATTGATTTTCAAGTCTACATCTAGAAAATATGAAGGGAAGAGGTTTGAACTGTGAAGTTTGCGGAGTAAAGTGCTTGTATGCTAATTCTTTTAAAAAAGCAGGTAAATCATTTAGTTTTTTAAGGGAAGTAATCGATTCTGTTCGACCAGTTACAGTATTGTGATGTTTAACAAATAGTATATTGAATCACTTAAAATATTTTTGCATTTAATGAAAGATTGACAAAATTGAGACATGATTAGATTTCTTTTAGACAGAAATCACTCTAATTAAGAGCAAAATAAGTTTTTGCATCAATTTTTCTAGGCTGCGGCTTCACTGTATTTATTGATGCGACAAAGTTTTGAGGCGGGTCCAAATTTCTCAAAAGTTAAAATGCAGATAACCATGTCGTTAAGTACACTAGTTTCTACGGGTACCAAATATGGTGACTGGATTAACGAAGATTGTTTACGTCGCAGCTTAAAAACTGTATTAACTTACTCAGAAACTGATGCGTCTACGGACTTGCAGATACGTAGCACAACTTTTTCGGAACAAGTGAGTAATCACGTTTTTTTAAAATCCGAAATATTTCATCTATCAATAATGAATTGCTACGCAGATAGTATCATTTTATTATATATCATTACAGGTAAAAGATTTAGTTTTCAACTTGCATATGATATTATCAGATACAGTGAAAATGAAAGAATACACAAATGACTTTGAAATGCTGATCGATCTTATGTATCGTGTTGCGAAGGGATATCAGAACAATCCGGATCTTAGGTTATATGAAGTGATATCAGTTTTGTAGATTTCATCTATTTGTAGAGACGAATTCATTTTCAAAACGCGAGCATAATTGAAAAAGCATTCGATACCAGCATACAGTGTTTAAAATGTGTTTATCTGTCGGGCCTTCCGAATATTACCTCTGAACTTACTGAAACATTATGTTACTTTTGTTTTTCAGATGTTTCTGGAGTCGAGTTTCAAATTTGAAAATAGTTTTCCATTGATTAATCATTTATTTTAAGTGCTTTCAATATATTTACTGTTGAAATTCGTTCAATATATTGACTGTTGCAGACTTACGTGGTTGATTAATATGGCAAATAAACATTCAGCTCGGGATAATGCTGCGGAAGCGGCCCAGTGCATGCTCCATGCAGCCGCATTAGCAGCTGAATATCTTTCTATGCGTGAATACAGTGCATATATATCAAGAGGTGCTGCTGCTTTTGAAACTATAAGTGGTAATGTTCTTGAAGAAAGCGCTGTTTCGGATGATGTTATCAGGTAAAATTTTTTAACCCGAAGTACTCAAAATTTTCAGTCGAGGAAATTAGCTTTTTAATGATGCAGATTTTCTTTAAGCAACTAAAGTTGAATGAATTTGTAGTCCCGACGAAGAGGGTATTTGCGAAAGTCGCCATTTTACCCAGAATGGCTTAGTACATTTGGTAGAAAAAACAGCAAAGTTCATGGAGAAAGCGCAAATGTATGAATCAATGGTACAACTATATAAGGTAAAAAAAATGATTGTAAATTCGTACTCTATCATTTTTGGCGTTTACTTTTCATAGCATTGATGGTTTTGTATGTTTTTTTTCATAAAATTGATTCAATTTCCACTCTTAAATTCCCTTAATAACAGGTGGTAACGCCAATTTTGGAGGAAAATCGTGATTATCAACGCTTAGAACAAGTTCATAGATGTCTTAGTCAAGCTCTTTCTCGGATTGAACCAACTTTCTCACTTATTGAATATATTGCTGACGCTTGGTATTCTCCATTACCAAGGTAAGTTAATAAAGCTTTGGTGACTCCCTGTTAGACATCTGGCTTCAAATAAATGTTCTCAGTTAGTTGGGAGGAATTAAGTATACGTGAATTATATATATCACAAAATATTCTTCGATGCTGCATTTTATAAATTTCTGTTCTTTTCAAATTTCAGTGCTGATAAGCGTTGTTTTGGTACTTATTTTCGAGTAGGTTTTTATGGTGGCCGTTTTGGAGATTTAGATGGGACTGAATTCATATATAAGGAACCCGCAATTACAAAATTATCAGAAATTAGCCATCGTCTAGATGCGTTTTATACAGATCGCTTTGGTAAAGGAGTTGTGGAAGTGATCAAAGACTCAAATGTAGTATGTTGTAATTGTTTATGTGAGATATCGATTGGAAAAACTTCTAGGCCATAAAGAAATTTTTTTTGCTTCTCTTTGAATTATTCATCTATCAGGTCGATCGGAATCGTTTGGATCCCACTAAAGCTTATTTACAAATCACATATGTAGAACCATATTTGGAAAATTGGGAGCGACGGCGTAGACCTACGCATTTCGAGCGGAATCACAAATTGTATAGATTTGTTTACGCAACCCCATTTACAAAAGATGGTCGAGCTCATGGTGATTTAAAAGACCAATACAAAAGGCGAACAGTTCTGGAAACACAATTTTGGCAAGTTTAATTTTAACGCTGAATGTTTTTTTTTTCTTTTTTTTAATTCATAAATTAATCAGATAAGATATCAAATTTAGAGTGAAAATAGCGCATATAGCTTCACGGATTTCTACTTAAATTAATTATCTCTATAGAGCACGCTATTGTTTTTCATTCAGAAAATATCAGATGAATAAAATTTTATTATTGCTTCTCATGAGACTGGGTTTAGTTTTCCGTATGTTAAAACACGTCTTCGAGTGATTAATCGTGAGCAGATTGTCCTAACTCCGATTGAAGTTGCAATCGAGGATATCCAAAAACGAATTCGGGAATTAGCTGCTGCTACTGCACAAGATCCGCCAGATGCAAAGATGCTGCAAATGGTGCTGCAAGGTTGCATAGGCACCACGGTGAACCAAGGTCCCATAGAAGTAGGTTTATTTCTCTTAAATTTTCAGGATTAAAATAGTTATGTGCTTATTACTTATTTTTAATTGAACTGGTGGACAATTCTAGTATTGTAAACTGATATCATCTGTTTATCTTTTTCTGTATATCTTTTGCATTATTTTATTTGCATGTCCATATTATATCTGGTGATGATTAAAAAAAATCATACAATGAGTGTTATATTTCTGTAGGTTGCTAATGTATTCCTAACAAATGTCATTTTGGACGATCATGGAAAACCTGTGAATCAATTACAAAATAAGCTTCGTTTATGTTTCAAAGACTTTTCGAAAAAGTGTGCGGATGCGCTGCAGAAGAACAAACAACTTATTCAGGCTGATCAGCAAGCTTACCAGGTGTGTCAGTCAGATGATTGCTGGGAGTCATTGATGAAAAACTCATTGACATTTGTATCTGGAAATGAAGTTAGGTCTAGAATCTAAACATGATGAAAAACATCCATACCACTTCTAGTCCATATCATCTGCGTAATCATCATGAGTTTTTTTGTTACATCAGATATTATATAATTTTAGTTTTAATTTATATGCAGTATATTTAAATAGTCACTTTTTGTTTTCAATTGATGTTTGTTTAACTAAGAAGATTGTGCAATAACATAGTTTGTCTAATCTACCATAGGTCGTATCATATGACTTGTTGCATGGGTAAGACATAAAACTCTGAACCTGTGAAAAAATTCAATTTCTAGGATGAACTGCAGAAGAACTATATTGAATTCACAAAACGAATGGCGCCGGTTGTTGGGATCTGTAAACGTAAATTTTCGGAAGCTCATTTGGTTAAAGCTACGCATACTGTTGAACTTGGGACAGCCACAGCGGTGTAAAAGAGTAAACAAGGGCTGATTGTAGCTTTGTGTTTGTTTTTTACAAATCTTAAAAAACGACAATCGCCTAATTGTCGGTCCTTCGCAATATATTCTTAAGAAATCTAGGAGGATGCTTATTTGCGTGGAATGCTCTTCCGAAACTTTATAGAGGTTTTGTGAACTGAACTTTCCAAGCTTTGAATTTTTCATTTCTGCCTACCTATTGGATAAAAATTTCTTAACTAATATAGCTCTTCCTGCCATCTTCTTTTAAGTTACTCAAGATACATAAGTAATACTTGAATTCAGTTTGGAGCTGCGGATTTAAAAGCTTCAAATAATTGGAATCTCGAGTTTTGACATGTTAAGCTATGAGCTAATTTTATTCCAAATGTTAAAAATTTTAAGTCTGTTCCTCTAATTAAAAAAATTCTGTGTTATATTTTCATTCGTCTTTTTGTCCTGCATTGTAGCAAACATAGAAAGGAATGTTCGTTATAGTTAAAGTGAAAAAGTAACAGTAAAAAATTAGTGACCCATGAGGAATATTTTGACAAATAGTGATAAAGCATAATTATTTTGCAAAAAAACTCTCTGCTGTGTAAATTATTTAACTGTTTGTTGTGCTGTTCACATATACACCATATTACATGGAGGATAATCTTTTTACGCCACTGATCGCGGCAGTAGATAGTATTCTGGTACTTTCGTTGCGTTGACTTTTGTTATATTGAATACTGTTTTTCATTGTGGAATCCACTATAGTGATTGGATCAAATGCTTTCGAGCGTCCTCATGAGCATTATCGAGTGGAGATAAGCCTCGACCTAATCAGGTATACTTGATCACCGCATAGCATTTATGAAAGTTCGTTACAATGCCATCTCAAGACATACAAAATTATTTCCATCCTGCATTTCATCCCTTACCCGTTAATTAGTCAGTGTGTCATATTTTCACTCTTTCTCGGTCTCGACTGCTATCAACCTATACTGACCAGTGATGCCAACCTCTATCTGGTCTATTCACTTTGCTTCTTATCGTGTATCATGATATCCGGTCGATCCTTTTATTCTGATTGCAGTTCTCACTCGCGTATCGATTCTGATCTCAAAATTCTTATTCGCGACGACCTCCTGAACAGAATGGCTTTGTAAGCGCGGGAATGCTTTCAGACCGTACTTCTTACGGAGTCCCAAGTGGATGCATCGTAGGACCTCACTGTGTCTTCTAGTATAGTCGTGATGCAACATTTTTTCGCAATGTTGCTAGATGGTCCACCGTCTTCACACGTTCCCCACAATTTTGGCACATACCTTTCTCACCTCCAAACATATTTTTGTCTTGGAGATGATAGTGTCGTACCTCATCTTGCGGGGTAATGTTTCCGTGTCGTAGCCATTTTGATGAATCAACTATAAACGAGATTTTATTCGTCCG